AAAACACCCCCCACACCCACCACCAAAAAAAAAGGAAAAGAAGGGGGATAAAGGAAACCCGTAAGGTAAACCAAACTTCCAATACAGTTTGGTTCGAAAAGGAATGTCCAATTTGGTTTTTTTTATTTCCAATGGAAAAAGATTTTTCCAGAGATCTTATGGGGAAAGTTTTTGCATTTTTAAAGAAGAATTTTTTGAATGTTGAAATTCCTGGGTAAATGGATTGGCTATCCAGACCAATCAAGGCTATAGTTGATTTGTGGCCAAAAGAAAAGGGTGACCCAACTATATACAGACGCAAAAGATTACAGTAGTCGGGAAGCGGCGAGAGTTTTCTAGGTAATTGTGGGAATATTCAGCCAGGCAGCAAAGAGATTATTCAGACAGGTTGTGAAGCATAACTTGATATGTGCATTACAAATCAGAGAAAGAACAGTTTAAAAAGTGGCAAGATATACCACAAGTGTGTGATTTATCCAGATGTAATTTTTCCAGAAGAGTTAACCAGGGTTACCACCAAGGCGAGGGAAGTGAAGTTTAACCATAGATGTCTATCCTGGAAGGCAGCACAGTAATCAATTGCAACCTTACAGAATGGGCACAGCAGAGTAAAAAAAGAGTTTTAAAGATTCAGCTACAGGAGTTTTATTGGATAAAGTTTATCAGACCCAGTGTTATCACCTTGGGGAGCAACCGGTGGTTATTTGTAAAGAAGAAAGATGGAAATCATTCAGATTGTTGCATTGACTACAAGACAACTGAACAAACTGACAATCAAGAAATAAGTAATCCATTGCCTCGAATCGAATGATTTTGTTTGATCAGCTAAAAAGGTGCAGGTAATGTTTTCTAAGATCGCTTAGGTGGGATACCATCATTTGTTGTGATAACGGAAGAGATATGCTAAGACTGCATCCAGGACACGATATGGTCATTTGTGGAATTTTTTAGTCATGCCATTCGTCCTCACAATGCACCAGCGGTTTTCATGGATCTCATGGAACGCGTGTTTCCATTCATAATCTGGATCAGTTTGTGGTGGTGTTATAGATGACATTTTTGGTCTACTCCAAAAGATAAGGGTCGAATATGATAAACATTTGCGGATTGTACTTTCAGACACTGAGGGATAAACAGTTGTATGCAAGCTCAGTAAAGTTTTGGCTGGAAGAAGTTTCTTTCTTAGGACATGTGGTGTCATCGGAGGGTATCAGAGTGGATCCTCATAAGATTGAAGCTATTGTTGATTAGAGACCTCCCAGAAATGTCACAGAAGTTCGAAGTTTTCTGGGTTTAGCCGGCTATTATAGAAGGTTCGTAAAGGGATTCTCCATCATTGCATAACCTTTAACAAGATTATTGAAGAAAGCAGTTGTATTCCAATGGGATAATAGATGTCGGCAGAGTTTTGACACTTTGAAGAAAAAGTTGACTGAAGCACCAGTGTTGACTCAGCAGTGTCAGGTAAAGACTTTGAGATTTACAGTCAGTGATGCCTCTCATACTGGGTTGGGATGTGTACTCATGCAAGATAGAAAAGTGGTGGCTTATGTATCCAGACAGTTGAAGCCACATGAATTGACTTATCCAACCCATTATTTAGAAGTGGCAGCCATTGTTCTAGCATTCAATAAGCATTCAAAGTATAGGCGGCATTATCTGTTGGTGGAAAAGTGTCATATTTTACAAACAGATCTCAGAGTTTAACGTATTTACGGCACATGAAAGATTTGATTCAAGACAACGGAAGTCGATGCAATTTGGTAATTATGATTATCGTCATTAATTCCATCCGGGCAAAGCAACGTGGTATTGATGCCACTTGCCAGAAATCATTGTTTGCTCTTGAGAGAATAAGAATTACATGGAAGTTGCAACAGCAGGGAGTTATTTCTAGATAGATCAGTAAGCATCTGGCTTCCAGAAGTTGCAGAGGCACAGAAGAAAGATGCAGCAAACAGCATCTGGTGAAACAAGTACAGGAAGATCATGGTGGGAAATTCAGATTGGATACACAGTGGAGTCTTATTCTATGGGACAGAGTTGTTGTACACAGATAGGGGAGCTTTAGACAAAAGATTTCTGCATGAAGCTCATAACAGTGCCATATAAACGCATCAGGGGGTAGTACAAGATTTGTATCAAGATTTGAAGAAAGGTTATTGGTGGCGCGGGTAATGAAGAAAGATCTCGGAAATGGGTAAACAAGATGTTTAATATGTAAACAAGTAAAGAGAAATCAACTGCGCTGGGTTTATTCATCAATAACAGTGCAACATGGAAGTGGGATCAGATCACGATGATTTTTGTTACTGGATACCTCAGACGCAGCGGAAGCAATGATGTAGTATGGGTTGATGTGGACAGATTAACTAAGTCGCACACTTTTCTACCAGTTCGGATGGACTATTTCTGGACAAGTTTAGCAGACATTAATGTTAGCAGAAATAGTTCGACTACATGGAGTTCCATCATCCATGTATATTCTGATCGTGATCCAAGTTTAACAATCGAATTTTTGGGCTCGAAGTTTTGGGGTAAACTGCAGGAAGCATTAGGGACGAAATTGTATTTCAGCACTGCATTTCATCCTCAGACAGATGGCCAATCAGAAAGAGTCATTCAGATCCTGGAAGACATGATGAGATCATGTGTTATAGAAGTTGAAGGCAGTTGGGACAGATATGTACCTCTCATGGAATTTGCCTACAACAACAGCTATCAATCAAGCATTAAAATGGCACCATATGAAGCATTGTATGGTAGACAATGTAGAACACCTGTGTATTGGACAGAACTTAGTGAGAAGAAGATTTTGGGTCCAGATTTGGTTAGAGAAACGGAAGAGAAAGTGGAAATCATCAGAAAACGGCGAAAGAGCGGTGATCGACAGAAGTCTTATGCATGATTTAAGAGAGAAAGGATATTGAGTAATCGGTTGGTGAAATAGGTATTTCTGAAAGTTTCAACCATGGAAAAAAGATCCTAAGGTTTTGGACAAAGGGTATAGCTTAGCCCTAGGTTCATTGGTGCATACGAGATTGTTGAACGCGGTAGGATCCATTAGCCTATCGCCTAGCGTTACTTCAACCTTAGATATGCATTCATAATTTGTTTTCACGTATCAATGTTAAGGAGGTACGTGATCAGTACATCACACGTGTTATCAGGAGAAGTAATTGAAATTCAGGCCGGATCTTCACCTATGAAGAAGAACAGTTCAGATCTTAGCAGAGAAATCAAAGAATTTACGAAGCAAGAAAATAGCATTGGGTAAAGAGTTCTTTGGAGGAATCATTAAAGACAGAAGAAGCAACTTGGAATCTGAAGACACGCATTGCGAAACAAGCAGTATCCGCAATTGTTCACAACAGGTAAAACTGGTCGGGACAGAAGTTTTTATTTAGGAGGGGAGAATTGTGACATCTACCGAGTCGAGTCTTAGCATAGAGTCAAGTAGTTGAGGTTGAGTTCGAGTAGAACCAAACCCGTGGGTAGAAAGTGGGGATTAATAAGTGGAACTTACTTGAGTTGAGAGAAAAAGATCAAACCGCATATGGGTGAGGATTTATTTGCATTAAAAGATCAAGGCTGGGTATTACGTGATAGCCTTTTGGCTAAATTGGAGGTACTATTTAGTAAGTTTTACATAACATTCATTGATATTTTGGGAACCTACACGTGAGCTCCATGTCACTTTCCCATTTTCATCTTTTATCTTCATCTTCTTCATGTCCTTCCTTTCTCATCATTTTCATGTAGTTAAGTCTAATACTTCAACTTCTCTTCTATCCAAGTAAGTAAACTTCTTGAAGTATAATGAATATTTGGTGCTATTTTTAGAATAGTCCAAAGAATTTCTTATTTACTAGGTGAAAGGAGTTCAAAGAGGTGTAAAAAGGAAGTTTAAAGGAAGAGCTCAAAGCTTTTGGAGTAAAGGTTTGGCATCTTTTTCATTTCATTTTTCTTGCATGAGAATTTGTGTGGTGTGTTGCTATATGAGAAATTTGCTTCATGTTTGAGTGGGAGGACTGTAATGGTGAGAAAACAGGGGGAGAATTGGAATAAATGAAGTAAAATAGTGAGTTTAATTGCTGACACACAAGGGCTTGCTGGAAATTTTACCAGTAATTTTTCAATCTTGGATTATTTGACCCCATTTAATGATGGGAATTAGGAAGTGTCATATGAAGAGTTATTTGTTTCCTCTATTGTGTTATTTACATGGGTTTTTGAAATCATCAATTGGAGTTGTATATTGAGAGATTAATGACAAAAGAGGTACAGACTGTGCAGGCTGGAAAACGCGACGCGCGCGCGCGACATTGCATGACGAGCTGGCGTTGCCTTCTCGCGCTCGAGCGACTTTATCCTGAACTCTCTGACTCTTATTGGACATTCGCGCTCACGATCTTTCACTGGCGCGCCTCGGCCTGACTTGTGACTCGCACTCACTGCTTCTTTGGCCCTTCTCGGGGCTCATGCAGACATGCACTGTGCGCTCGGCAGATTGTGCCGATAATGCACTGTCTCTCATTTGCACTTAAAACGCGCTCGCGCTTTGCACTGGCGCGCTCGCACGACTTGTTGCTGATAACACACTGACTTCATGTGTTGCATCTCGCGTCTCGTGAGCCTTGCAAGGCGCGCTTCAGTCCTCCCCCCCCCGCCCTCCCCTGAACTTGGTGTTTTTCCTGCACTTTTGGACGTTCATTTTCAATGCAATTATATTCACTGTTGCTTTCACTATATGCTCCACTCATTTTAACACAAAATACACATGAGAACATGGTATCAAACAACATTCAAGCATGCCAAATGAATGTGAAATAAAATAAACATTATGAATTAATGAAGCTTATGACTAAATGGAATATGCTATTGTGTTATATTATTGGGACATAACCGAACATTAGGCTCCATTGAGGTTAGGTTAGAAACCACTGAGATAAGGCTTGTGCGACATAGGATAGCAGATCTTGCACCATATAGTTGATACTCCGGTACAAGGCCGTGGAGTGGATATGATTAATATATAGGCCATAGCAGCCAAGCATTACAGTAATTCATCCAGTTTCATACAAGTTTTTCTTAATCACTTCGGTTTCACTATAACCTTCATGGAGCCCATACTACAGATTGCTTGACATAACATTTCATGATCAATGACAGTATTATAAACAGTAAACAAATAATCAAGGTATACGGAAAGATTTTATCATGTATATGTGCTTTATGTTTTAATTATCGCATATGCATTTACATGGCTTTTATTTCTATTATTGTATGTGCCTTTAATTGTTTTCTTTAAATATGTTTGAGATAATCCACTGAGCTTTTATTTGCTCAAGCGAGTTCCTGTTTAACTTACAGGTTTTGAAGATTTGGACCGTAAGAGAGTCGCTTACAACTGTGGAAGTTCATCTGTAGAGAAGACTCAGTCTTTCAGGGTAGCCTATCATTTGGGATGTGTATTTTTTTTCTACCGCTTTTTATGGCATGTACAGGGCACACAGCTTTTGGCCATTCCATTTTGAAACTAGTATCATGTTGTAATAAATATTAAGTTACATTAATTAATCTAAACAGCATCATCAATGATATAAGAGTCTGTAATTCCATTATTATAATCAGCATGACAGGTTCTTTAAGTCCAACAGTTTTGTTAGCGTCTTCGGTTTCGGATTTTATTCGGTTACGGGTGGACCGGGAAAGGGATGTTACAAGTTTCTGAACCAAGGAGAATTAAAATGATATAATCAAGACAGAGGATCAACCAGCTGAATATAGGATCAACCAGCTGATATTTTTACAAAGAGTTTAAACACAAATAAATATGAAGATTTTCGCCAACAATTGGGAATGATGAAGAAAGAGAAATTAATCGTTGAGGGAAAGTATTAAAATATCACCGATTAATTTAGTTACCACCAAAATGGGCTGCTATAATAAGTCAAGACTTGGGAAGCCTTAAGCCCAAAGTTGGAGGTCCAAACCCACATTCTAGAATACTCCACATTACTCCACCCAAAAGATATTTTGTCTAATGTCAACATAGTTCTAGAATTCTCCATGTAATCTAAACCGTCCATTTTTGTAGACAAATCTTAGCAGTACATTGAGGAGGTGGAAATGCCTATAAATACCACCCCTCCTCTCATTTGTAACCAACCAAGAAAACACCAAGCAAAAACCAAGTAAGTAATCCTCTCCTTAAGCTTTGTGAATGTTTCCTTCTTATTAATACAAATATATTTGTTGTTTTGTGTTAGTATTATTTTGGTTGCCTTTCCCGTGATTATTCTCGGTGTTATAAATTATTAATCAATCTTGGAGTTTATCACTACACTTATATCCAACAAGTGGTATCAGAGCATTAATCTCAACAGCTATCACTAATTAAACTGCCAGCAAAACCACAACCACTCAAAGTCGGAACGGAAGCAACAATTTCAATTTCAAACTGTCAAGGGGCCACCAGGACACCTACTAATTAGTCTTAGGAGCAACTGTAAGCTCAAGGCGATATTTCATAAAATTATAATCCTTAGCAAAATTTTTTGCAGCATGAAGTAACTCCATAATAAAAACTATGGTTTTGAAAAACCAGAGAATTCATATTCTTCTAAATGAACCAACAGACAGCGCCGAAAAGAGTAAGCTAATCCATGTCATCTATTCTGATCTTATTATATTTATAGTTCCAGCTGATCCACTCAACTGTAGACACAAAACCAAAGAAGGTAGGCCAATCATTCTTCGGAATAAGACAGCACCAGATGCTCTTAGCAAAAACACAGTCCCGAATCACATGAAAATTAGATTCATGAGGATTATAGCAAATTGGACAGGAATCATCTTCCAAGAGGTGCCATCGCTTTCTTTCAGCATTAGGGAGGAGTCTATTATGAGCGAAAAGGCGAACCCGTTAAGGAGAAGGCCATTTCCAGATGAGCTTCCAACTAGTTCCTGTATTAAGAGAAGCCTCAGATCCCAAAAAACCATAGGCTGATTTAATTGTGAAAGTACCAGAAGGAGAGAGTCCCCAATACACACTATCCTTTCCAAGCTCGTTAGAAGGCACTGAAATTGCAAGAATTCTATGAACTATTCTGCGAGGCAAATAAGGCGGAAAAGCCTCGGTATCCCACATCACATTGCTCGTAACATAACTGAACACCAGATTATTTCTCATAGTGTGAGGAATGTCCACAGAAAGGAAGTCAATTAAAATAGTATTCACATCCACCCAAGCATCAAGACAGAATCGAATCCTTCTGCCATTACCAACAGCCCAAAGTAAACCGTTATTCAATTTAGGCATAACCTTCCTAATACCCTTAGCTACGCTAGAAATAGCTGCTTCAGAAAAGTTAGAAGGCACAATATCATTGCCCAACCTGTATTTAGAGTGCATGACCTAAACCCATAACGCATTAGGATTATTCATAAGACCCCAACCTAACTTTTAGCATGAACGCATCATTCAACATGGCAAGACTTCGAATACCGAAGCCCCCTGCAGCCTTAGATAACTTATCCTCCTTCCAAGGTAACGACCCCATTTTGCGAGTCGAATCGGTGGAACCCCAGACAAACTGGCGATAGGATTTTTCAATCGAAAGACACACCTGGTTTGGTAATAAGGCATCTTGCATTGAATAAACCGGAAGAGCTGCTAAAACAGATTGAGTAAGCATGATTCTCCAACTAAAGACAACTGCATAGCATTCCAATTAGACAACCTTCTAGCCACCATATCCAGAAAATAATTATAGGTGCGTTTGGAAATCTTTTCATGAATCAAAGGCATGCTTAAAAATTTGCCAAAGTTTGTGGTCTCACGAAAACCTAAAGCTTGGCATAAAGACCGTTTCTGGGAGCTTAACACATTTTTGGAGAAGAAGACCGTAGTTTTCTCCACATTAACCTTTTGCCCTGAGTTATGGCAAAAATCATTCAGGACCTCTCTAATGATGCCAGCCTGATTCCCTGATGCTTCCGCAAAAGGAAATAGATCGTCCGCAAAAAAATAAATGTGTAAGCGGAGAACCATCCCGATTAAGCGTAACAGGCTTCCATGAACCATTACAAGCTGCCCTTGTGATACAATGAGCTAATCTTTCTATGTAGATCATAAAAAAGTAAGATATATATGCCATAGTATGCATATATATATATATAAAATTTTAATCACAATTAAGTATTACCAAGTATAAATAATATATAACTCAGATTCATAATAACTTAATTAAAACAATTAAATTGATGAAAAAAAATTAAAAGATCAACTATGAAATTAACTTTAAACATAAAGGAAGAAAAAACAGATTTAGATTTTAGACTTTGTAACATAAAATAAAGAATGGATATGGATGCTTCAATAAAATGTATATATATATTAATTTTTTATTTAAATTTAAATTCTATTGAAAAAATTAAGAAATTATATTATATACTAAATAACCAACAACCAAAGGCATGATGGGCTTAATCCAATTCACAACAATTTTGGTAATAATCTTATAAATCACTGAACATAACCTAATAGGTCTGAATTGAGAGATTCGAATGGGATTATCAATCTTAGGAATTAAAACCAGTATAGTCAAATTAAGCCTGGGATCCATACCTTTTCCTTCAAACACTTCCCAAACTGTACGATAAATATCCATATGAACCACCGACCAGAATTTTTGGAAAAAGCTAGCACGTAGACCATCAGGGCCTGGAGCCTTCTATGGTTTCATGCTAAATAAAGCTTCTTTAATGTCTCCTATAGACACAGGAACCGGCAACGGCGCAGTATAATCAGCGAGAATAACAGGGAACATTCCATGAAAATGAGAGTTTAAAGGATCATAACTCTCCTCTGAATAAATCTTAGAAAAGAATCTTACAGCTATAGCTTTGAGGTCGGAAATATCATCCACCCAATCGCTAGAATTCTCATCCTGTAAGCTCTCGATACGATTCTGTTTCCGTCGTCTCAAAATTTTGAGATGAAAATAAGTGGTTTTGCGGTCACCCCATTGCATCTAATTAGCTCTGGATTTCTGAAACCAAATGAGTTCTTCTTGAGTAAGAACCTAATCAAGTTCAGCTTTTAAATCTGCTTACAACTCATACAGACGTTGAGAAAAGGCTTGATCAAGAGAACATTGAATGTCTCGTTCTTATATTTATTTACTAAAAGAGATTATATCGACGGTATAAACAAAACAAGTAAATTTATTATAAAATATATAATAAAAGTTATATGATGATTTTTATAAATCAATTTGATTTTTTCTTAAAAAGAAAATGAAAGCAAGTAACATATAATAACAAATGGTATGAAACAGTACGTTGAAGAAAATATAAATGATATATTTCATATTTAAATTACTATTTAAAAAGGGAAACAAATATATCATTTTTCTTTTCAGTGAAATATTACAATCCAAGATATGTAACAAAAAAAAAAAGTATTTACTATATATATAAAAGTGTAAGATAATTTAATCATTGTATTTATTGTAATCTAAATAAGAATTTATATTTTAATATTATATAAATAAAAAATATCAAAAGGGAGCATATAACGAGCATAGACAATAATGCACGTCATAAAAAAATAGTAATTAATTAAATAAATGTAGAGAATGAGTTCTGAAGTTTGACTCTTCTTGATTAAAGGGAGTATAAAGTTAGATAATCATAGTTAATTACATAGCATGTTTCAGAAAGGAATAAATCTCAATTTGCCCCCTGAATCTGAGAGCAATATTCAATTATGTTTTTAAATAATTTTTCTTTCCTAATTTTAAACTTGTTAAATAATTTTTGTTATTTAAAATATTCAAATTATTTTAAAGAAACCAAAAATTTAGTGAAAAACATATTTCTTTCTGAAATGCAAGGAGGAGCGTTAAATTCGCGCTCTATAGAAAAAGTTGCACACACGTTGTCTATTTCAAAAAAGTTAGTTCATAGAGTTTGGCATATTACAAAGATCGGTGCACTAATTACAAATGGGATGAATGGTCCTTGCGAAGATATTTACCATGGCATAAATGGTAATTGAAGTTGATGCAGAAATATTGAAGGAAGTAGCAACAATAATAACATCCTATTGTGAAAATATTTGCCATGTGATAATAGTTTCATATGCTTTAAAGGATTTAATGACATTTAGTAGTTCAAAAAAAAATGGTCTTTTTGTTTAAAAAGTGCACTAGTTGTCTTCGTAAAACGTTGCTTCAAATCATCTTTTGGATAATAAAAATATGTGCTCAAATATTGCAAATGTAGGTGTTTTTACGTCAAAGTAATGTACATATATTATTATGACACGCATTTTTTATTTCACTACAAAAAAAACGCGTTTTGACAAATCATTCTATTAACAAACTAATCTTCTAAAAATGAAAAAAAAAAAAACAACAAACTAATTCATTATTAGTTCAAAGTCAGAATTTTTACATACAAAAGTTAAACAACAAAACATGAAAAACACTATAAACAACTAACCAAAATAAACAAACAACAAACAAATTATAAACAAGAACAAAACCAAAATAATGAATGGTAGCTGCCGATTCATTAACAAAATAAAATAAACAAACAATCAACTAATCAAAAAAACAACAAACAAATTCGACATAAAAATAAAATGCAAACAAAAAACAAAACAGTTGCTGCTATTAATTAACGAAAATAAAAAAATAAAAAACAAATCACTTACCTGTGGTGTTGTTGGACGGCAGCGGCGACTCTATTGACTGGTGACAGAGTGAGACAAAGGGAGACTGACTATAGAGAGGGAGAGAGGCGTGAGATTGATTTTGAAATCAGTCTCGCGCGAGAGAGAAAGGAGACTAAAGCACCCTAAAATTTAACGGCGGACCAGATCGGTCGCTATTTTAATTAACATGGCAAATAACCTTCGTTGTTATGGTGTAAAATTAATTGCTAATAAATATAGAATTTTGGTCATTGGAACTGTCGCACTCTAATTGCTAATCGGTCAGTATTAATTCCCGTCAAATATAGCGACATAATATATATGGGTCGATATTCCATCGTTCGCCGGATCGGCCGCTGAGTAGTCACTAGTCTATAGCTCTGGTTGGCGTCGATACTAGGCGCAAAAAAGAGCGATGATGTCAAGTCGGTTGTTAATTCTGTCGGTAAGTCTATCACTAGTAGTAGTCAAATCGGTCATTAATATTGCAAAGGTTTCACAATAAGAGTCCGTCATGGGCGGTTGTCGAGCCGCATTGCGTCAATCGCTAAAAACCAATTTTTTTTTTTTAGTGTTTCTAACTGTATATATAAAAAAATAAGCAGTAGTTTTTGTTAAGTAAATGTGTGCAAAATTTCTAAATGCATGCAATTTTGCTTAAAACGAAGAGAGAAAGATAATACGGCTATGAATTGGTTAGTCAACCATATTTAATTTCAATATTTCAATTTTGTATGTCACTTTCTTGTTTTTCTAAAAATTGGTACTTTAGATAAAGCAAATCAAGGTAAATTATAGTTTTTACTTTGGTCATAGTTAAAATTAAGTAAATTTATCTATATAAATAGAAGGGAAAAATAAAAATTTTGTCTATATAAATAAACTGAAAAGGCATTACTTCTAAGTTTAAGTGACAAATTGAACTTTGTTCCCTTCAAAAAATTGCATAAATGCAAAGTAAGATTTATCAATACTCTTTAGTAATTTATTATTGCGATTTCACACCTACTAACTGCAAGCTTGACGGTCCTAAGCCATCCACGTGGGCAGGGGAGAGGACTTTTGAATTGGCAACATCAGCCGCTTTTATGATGCGGAATTTTTAATTTAATAGAAAAGGTTGTTCCGACTTCTCCGAGAAATAGAAAATTTTTTAAATGTACGTTTTAATTTTTACTAGCACAAAAGTTAAAAATTTTAAAAATACATCAAATTAATTAATTTTTACTGGTTCGGTTTGATTTGGATCCATCCATCGAATGCTCACCCTCCGACTCGGTACCCCAAAAGCCCCAAACCACAACTACGCGTCCACGCCCTTGAGGAAGGTATAGTAAGTCCATGTCTGTAACTACTCTGCACCCTGTTTTTCTGTATATCAAATTCAAAACTGCCATTCTCATTCATTTCATCTCTCTCTTGTAGAAAAAGAAGAATCATAGAAGATGATACAGCTTCTCTACACCGTAATCTTTGCCGAAATGGCTCTGATTTTGACGCTCTTATTCAAAACCCCTTTGAGAAAGCTTGTGATCTTGACTTTGGATCGGGTCAAGCAAGGCAGGGGACCTGTTATGGTTAAGACCGTTGGCGGGACTGTTTTCATTGTGCTGTTGTCTAGTCTATACAGTATGTTTGAGATCCAGAACCGTAGTATCGAAGCTGCTCCTAATCCCACCGACCAGGTTCTCATGGCTAGACACATGCTTGAAGCCTCTCTCATGGGTAATTCTTTTGACCTATATTTTGCTTTATAAAATTTTGCTATACCATATGTTGTGATATGTGTTTGATTTGTTATTTTTTGTTCGGTTTCTTGCAAATATATTGAGCTGGCTTTTTAAGGGTGTTAATTTTGTGGTTTCGAATGTTGTGAAAATTTGTCTGAACTGGGCTATGCACACAAATGTCTGACTTTTATTTTATTTTTCTTTAATTTGAAACCTGAGAAGAAGATAGATGCTTTTTCTTAAATATTTCATGTAATTTGGTTGAATATGAGTTTTTTTTTTTGTCAGTCTAGTTGGAGAATTGAGCTGTATGGGGCTTTGGCATGCCGTTTGGGAAACAGTGTTTTATCTCATTGCAAAAACTGTTTGATGGAGTCCTATCTTAATAATGGGCCTATGTTGTGTTTGTCACTGGTAGCTTAGCTTGTATTTGTCATGGCGTCATTGTTGAATCATATTTCCATCTGTTAGTGCCTGTGTTTGTAACAATGTACTTTGCTGGAATTTATCTTGAGGTGTTGGGTGTGTTAGGTTTGCAGATGTAATCCTGTCGTGATAATGTAGGTACTGCTTCAGTGTTTGATGTAAATAGGTCAGATTCATTTCATGGGTTGAAGTGTACATTACAGTAAGTGTGATAAAGCAACTACTCTTTTTAGATTCTTCTTAATTCATTTTTCATACTTAACTTTTTTTTTTTTTTTTTTTTTTGGCTGGTTGCTAAATTGAGGAGAAAAGGTGGATGATATTTTGATTGCAATTTTAGTGTTGGTAACTTATGCGTGGATATGCAATTGAAGTCATTGCCCACGCTAGAAATATACATGTACTATTTCTCAAATTACCTGTTGTGTAACCATAGAAAATAAAATTATTTCTTTTTTTTTTTCTTTTTGTTTTTGTTTTTAGGAGGGAGGTGTTGATTAGGTTGTGGGGAGGGCAGATTGGGCCACTAGGAAGTTCAAATCCTAATCATGCGGGAGGTCTAGGACTGGGCACAAAACCCTTGCAATGCTTAGATCTTTTATGGTTCAGGTTGGGAGGGTGCTTGACTTTTTGAGCATGTTTAACTTCAAACTACTTTTTTCAAGGTCAAATGTTAGATCCAATTACCATAACATCGCGGAAGATGCTGTTGCTAAGATGTTTAGTGCTTTTTCAGCATTTACCATGGGACCTATAATCTTTCAGAGTTGAGATTTATATCAAGAATTATGAAGAGCGCAACTTTGAGGCAGAGTTCACAGCAAAACATGTGAGGTTTCTGCCTTTAGTGTACCCGATTCATTTTCTTAGCTAGCTTAAGACTAGTAATATGACAATCTCTCTCTGAGACACCCTCACTCTCTTTGTAACAAAGGGCTTAGAGCTTTCCTTTAAAAAGGGAGGTCACGGGTAAATTTTTCAGATATTAGAAAAGTTGGTAAGATCTGATAGCTAGTAAAACTAACAAAAATTCACCTTCTATTTGTTATTGTACTGGAGAAGATTGCTTTCATGAGATCTATGCAGACTGTTATTACAGATTTATTTTGTTTTTCTTGGAGAAGCTTTGGATAGGGAGACAACAAAAGCAAAATATGATCTGAGCTTTCTGTATGTTAAGATGGATGAAGAATTCACCAGTCTGCATGGTTTTCTTTCTACGGTTGATCAAAGAATCCCCTGAAGTCGTGAAATCAGAGTAGAAAATCATCCAAGTGCTTCATGAAAAGATTAAAAAAAGAGTACATATAAGAAAGAACAGAATATCTAAAGGATAAGAACACTCCATCCGTATTCACAATGAATCCTGCAACCTATTCAGATTATGGACTAATACTTCCAAATAAATTTGGTGATTAGAAGAAAAGGATAGATTTCATAGATTGAATTTATGTTGTTCCTTGGTGCCTCTTGCTGCAGCAAGATCTGATTTACTACTACAATGTCATTGATCTGGTCATTAGTTCAACTGAATTTAACGCATGCCGATGGATTCAGCATCTTGTTAACGGTTTCAACTCACTAATTCATGCTGAAGTGTTGTTGTTACATTTTGATGCTGTTGTTTTTATACAAACAGGGAATCTGCAGTATGGCAACTCTTTAATGACTTTGTTTGAGAGAATTGGTATTCTTGGATATTCTTTGTTATGCATGCTTGTAACAACACTTGACATATTGATTTACTGAATTTTTATTCTGGGCACTTGCATTATTATTGGAATTTCATAAAAGAAATTTCTATAACAAATTTTCTGTTGTCCAGAGATGGTTGGCACTCAACATTTTCTAAACTGCTCAATTAATTGCGGAAGAGCACCTTACAAATTACTTGAAATACTTTTCTGCTAAAGTTTACCTTCTTCAAAAGATGGTTTCTCAGTCTAGTATAGTATTATATATTTTATTTTAATATGTACAAACTCTTGTTGCCAAAATGGAAAGAAAAAGAGTTGGAGTCTTGCATTTGTGCACCAGTTTCAGAAAGCGGCATTGTATGTAAAATTTTATATTTGGTTGGATTTTATATGTTGATACAGTATGGTCTTTTACAGTTTGAAGGTTTGATTGGAATTGGTAATTCTCATCATCATAAGGGATATATTGGTATATTGCTAAAAGCTCCGTATTGATTTAAACACAAATAATTTTTCTGCAGGATTCTTGCTATTCCTGTCATTGATGATAGATAGATTGCACCATTACATTAGGGAACTACGTTTACTGAGGAAGGCAATGGAGGCTGCTAAGAAACAAAGCCGGGGATTTGAGGATGTGAAAAATGGGAACTCAGAGTAGATGAAAGCCCTGGAGAAGAGACTGGTAACCTGAAAGTATAGTTAAACTTTTTACCTCCTTACAGCAAGTCTGAGGATTGGATATTGTTGTCTGGTTTACTTATTAGTGTGCTTCAGCTATCTAATGAGCTTTTGAAGTCTATGTTGTGTTTTTGTATGAGCTGTCTATAATTTTGTTTAGTAAATCAATTAGTGGGATGGTTGGACTAAATACTCATTCCAAATAAAAATAAAAATAGTCACACTTTCCATAATGGCTGTCCCAAAATAATAAGTCTCATATCTATTTCTAGAAATGGTCGTTTTGTTAACTTTTCTATGGTATATTGTGCCAATAATTAATATACATAGAATTACTAAAAATTTAGTCAAATATAAATATAATGTAATATAAAGTAATTGAAACATGTGTTGAGATTAATTTTTTATTGAAAAACTCTATAATCATTAATCAAAAAGTTAGTAATATAGGGATACATATGGAAAAGAAGGATGAATATTATGGTTGAATTAATTTAACTACTTATTTTTAATTTGTGTGAAAAAAAAAAATGGGACTATTTGTTTGAGACGGAGGTGGTATTTGTTTTAGGTTAATGATTTCAAATATTTTGAATTTTGCTTCTTTTATCAAATTTTACCCAATTTCATAAATCGTTCCAATTTATTTAATGGAAGGACATTATTTCTAACCCCTGAATTCTTCTTTAAAGCCGGAATAGAAGTTACAGCAGTGTGATTGAGTACCAATTTGGTTCAATGCTTGCAATTAGTCATTCAAGATTAATGATTAATGGTTCTTGTTGGTGGTTAAAAGGCTACTATTAAATGTGGAATTTTAAAAATGATGCTTAAAAATTGGTTTTACCCCAAACCTCAACGGTGATTTAGAGTTTTTTTTTTTTTTTTTTTGGTGATTTTTTTTTTTTTTTTTTTGGTAAATTGATTGCAAAATTAAGTTTTATTCCTAAATTGATGCAAAAATTATTTGGATCAAATTAGACATTATTGGGTTAGGTTGAGTTATCGATTTAAAGTATCTAAATCATGTGCAGATCAATGATTTTTTTTTTAATCTAATCCAACTCATTAAATGTGTGAACGCATTTTTATTAAGATAAATCTTATAAAAAAGGAACATTGTAGAATTAAAAACATAACATACAATTACATGTTCATAAAATTTGTTTTTCGTTTTAAAAACTGATTTTTCTAAAATCTAAAGAAAAAATAAATAATGTTAAACAAATAAGATGTATTTATTTTTTAAGGAAAAAAAATGAAAAGCACAAAATTTAAATGAAAAGAAGTGGCATCTTAATAAACGACAGTACCTTTAAGGTTGGTTATTGTTGTAATCTATCTATTTTAACTATAAGTGCAATTAATTTAAAATTTCATTTTCGGAGATAATTGTAAAATAAATAAAAAACTAAATTGGATATGTTTACCAGAAAAAATAAGACAAAAAAAATAAGAATAGCAAGTCAGTGACCCAATTAGTCATGGCTGGTTTATTGAACCACCGGATTAAAATTTTTAAAATATTAAATCTGAATTGATCCTTAAACTGTCGATTCTAGTGTAGTTTTGATGAACCTATGGTTCTGATCACGGTTTTCAACGATAGATATTTTTTTTAAAAAAAATCTGTTCTAATGTTAAGTCTTTTTTTTTGAAAATATTAATATGAGTTTAAATAATATTGTAAATTTTATTTAAAATAAAATTTAAAACGCTTATACTCGTATAAGAATAAAATTAATTAATTTCACAAAATAATTAAATAAATTATCATTTTATTTTGTCTAAATGTTATTAATTAAATAAATTATTAGAAAATTTTGAAAAATACTTCAAAGAATATAATTTTGAACTTAGTAAACAATTTAAAAGAAAAAAAATAAAAGAAAAAAAAAAGTTAAAAACAATAAAAGATTAGACTAAATACTTCTTTTTTTGTTCACTGTTTTATTGTTTAGATTTTTAACTTTTAAAGTAAAGTGGATTGTCAAAAAAAAAAAATAAAATTAAAGTATACTATGTAGTAAAAAATTATTAAGACTTTTAAAGATATATAGAATAACCTACGTGATTATCATTTTAAAAATAAAAATAGAAAAATTTTTGGTTTGAAACAGACCAAAACCGCCTATTCCTATTTAAAACTTTAAACTCACAATTCTAGTGCAATTTAAATTCATCTACCGTACAATTTCAATTCACAATCAGCCGATGGCATGCGTAGACCCAATAAATATAGCATGTGAAGTAGTAAAGCCATAAAAATGCGATACTTGGGATCTGGCTTGGCTGGATTACTAAAGTTTCAATGCTATCTTATTATCATTGCCCGTGACCATATCTCCCTCTCTATATATACATACACATGTACATATATATAGATATATATTTAAATATATACAGAACAATCTCTCATCAAGAAAAATTAGAAGATGTCATTACTATATCTATATATTTATTGCCACGTGATTCATTCTTCTCAAGAAAATAAATCGGTTTCTCCTATTTCGTCTTGAACTTTTCAGTTTGGAAAACTACATCATAGGAATACATTTCCTGTGGTTTATGAAATATAATTATTTTGTCTTTATTTTTTAAAAAATATATTAATTTATTTTTATATTTTGCTTCTCTTATATTATTAGGTTATTCTGTTCATTTTTTATATTTTTCTGTTAAGTCAATAAGAAAACATAAAGGTCAAATGAGAGATACTAAAATATTAAATGAGAGATACTAAAATATTATATCAAAAAAATTACAGTACGATCCCTATGGTTTGAAAAATATAACTAGTTTATCTTTATACTTTTAAAAATAAAAAGAGTATTTTTGTCATTTCATAAGGTACTTAACAGAAAAAATGTAAAAATTGGACGAAATACCTTATAGTCTGACGGAGGTAAACTATAAAGATATTTTAATTCATTTTAAAAAGACATGTATGACTAATTGGATTTCGCAATCCACGGGGATCCTACTGTACTTTTCCCAACATTCTCAATAATTAAATTCATATATATATTAATAGCTCAATAATATATATTAGTAAATTCATATATAAATTACTTCCTCAACTCTCTCTCTCTCTCTCTCTCTCTCCTCTCCTCTCTCTCTCTCTCTCTCTCTCCTCTCTCTCTCTCTCTCCTCCTCTTCTCTCTCTCCTCTCTCTCTCTCTCTCTCTCTCTCTCCCCCATTATAAATAGAACTCAATATGGAAGGAAATTGTCTATAAACACCAACTAGCTAAAAGTAACGAATTTTACATAAAACCCTCTATTCTATAATTCACCATAACTCATATATGGCTACGAGAAAAAGACCTGTCAACTTTTCCTCCACAAAACTTATATTCATAACCATCTTACTGTTGGCAATTACTTTAGCTAATGCTGCAGGGTTAAGAGAAACAAAGATGACAATATATTTGCAAGGTTTCTCAACCGGTCCCAATGCTACAGTTGTTGCAGTTGCAGGCATACCAGGCAAGCATTTGTCATTTACGCAATTTGGAACAATCTTAGTCACCGATGATCCCATAACTGAAACTCCTGATATTAACTCTGCTCAAGTTGGGCGAGCTCAAGGCATGTACGCAACAGCAAGCTTGGATGGAATTAACTCACAAGTCTCCATATCAATTTTGTTCACTAATACAGCCTATTGTGGCAGCATTTTGCAGATTCAAGGCATTAGTAAGCAATTTGATAACGTTAGAGAGCTTTCTGTAGTTTCTGGGACTGGAAGGTTTAGGTATGCAAGGGGGTATGTTACGTTTGAAACATATTTTGTTGATAAGTCATCGGTTTACTCGGTCGTCCGGTGCAATATTTCTGTACTGCATTATTGACTTTTGATTTTTTTTTTCCTACTCCAGTCCAAGATGGATAATAGATTTGCAAAGCACTAGAAAAACGTTTTTTACAGGATCGTTAAACTTCTGGGCTGGCCCTCGAATAGCATAATTGCTCGACACTACCTTCCTCGATCTTCGGATTTCTTCTCTTTTAGCACATTTGATTGTTATCTTATGTTCAATTAAAGCTTGGCTATGGCAATAATTGTGTGTTTTTTTTAAAATATTAAATTATTGTGGTTAGCAATGTGAAAGTGTACTCTATTTATCTTGCGTTAATGAAAGCCATGGTTTAGCTTTTTTTTTTTTTTTTTTTTTTTATTGGGTTTAGCTTTTTTTTTTTTTTTTTTTTTCACTGGTTTTTATGTCAAACCCTTTTGTAAGTTTGGTCAATATATAAAAGACAAAAGGTCACACTTTAATATTGACATAAAATAAATAAATAAAATAAGGTAATGACTTTTTTTTTTTTTTGAAAGCAAAATAAGAAGTCATATATTTATAATATAATCCTCAGGAATAAGGAAGTTGCAATACAAATGGGGAGTCGAGTCCATAGACTCGGAAACAAGGATGTAAACATGCCAACAGACGAGCAAGGAGCATGTGCAGGCTTTTGTTACCTTGCCTCCTAACCCAAACCAAATTCACTAAAATGGTAATTGAGACAGCAATTGTTTAATCTCTGCTAGCAACTGTGGCTGCCTGTCAGTCGGAAATAATAATCAAACTGGTAGTTACAGCTTGAAACAGGCGCAAACAATCTGTTTCCACTAGAACCCTACTAAATAGATCTCGTGAAGCACCAAGATAAAACCTCTAAAGGCCGATGGCTTCAGGCGATGTGAGGTTTTAATACTCCCGTAAAATGACCCCGTGCAAAGCTACCAAGAACTGTCCAAGCTTCATTCGGAACAGAGGCCATCATACCGATGAACGACCTCAAGTCATATGGACAGCTGCATCAACGTTACATTTGACAATCAGTCGGAGGAGGAGCCCATGTCGAAACTGAGCCGACGATACAAGAGGGATTGCTTCGTTCAATCTGCGCGTTCTGGCCATTTCTCTGAAGAAAGCTGGTAGCACCGTACAATGTTGGTAAGGAGCAATATTAGTTTGTTTGGCCATACTCGCCGATTTTTCTTATCAAACCAGAGAAGTTAGCACAAGAACAGACGGAATACAAAGCATTGGTCGTTACTCGCGCCGATCAATAAACCCCAGTAAAGTAATCATTTAAAACTAGTGGTTGATCCATCCAACGGAACCTGTTAAGGCCAACACAGTCCGAGCTTTCCTAACAGTGGATAGCCACGTGCCATTTGTTTCTCGATTTCACCGCAAAAAGGGCAATGGTCATCCTCGTAATCCAAATAGTATAGATTTCGTTGGTAGAATATTTCGGCACGCTCGCCACAGCCAGTGCTTAACCTTCGGTGGGGAATCTAATTGCCATAATTTAGCCCAAATTGGCGAAGTTGCAGTTGCTTCAGGTTCCACAAAATTAGGCAGGACAAGCTTGTAGCCTGATTTTTGTAGCCTGATTTAACAAGATATTCCCCTGAAGTAGAGAAGTTCCATATTAGTGTATCTGCCTGGGTAGCCCGAGTAAACGGGATAGATAGAACCTGTGACACCTCCTCTGGAAGGAATAGTCTGGCAATTAAATCCTCATTCCAACCATTAAGCATCCTTAGATTTCCAACTGACAGGTGCTCAGAGCCAGGGACAACAGGGCTACGTGGGTAGAAATCAGTATCATTTGGTAACCACGGGTCATGCCAAATGTTAACACTTGAACCGTTGCCAATTCTCCATCTATTCCCTTGTTTGAGAAGTGACTTAGCCGAGACCATGCTCCTCCATATAAGGCTGGGATTATGCCCTAGGGGCGCATCCAAAACATTCCCCCCCGGAAAATATTTTGCTTTGAGAACAGAACATAGAAGAGTATTTGGTTCGCAGACAAGTCGCCAAATCTGTTTGCCAACTAGGGCAATGTTAAAGGAATAGAGATGTCGGAAGCCAAGGCCGCCCATAGTCTTTCCCACGCACATTCGGTCCCAACAGAGCCAATTAATTCCTTTACCGCTCAGACCTTGTGTACCCCACCAAAAAGAGTTCATAATTCTTTGTAGTTCGTCACAGAGGGAAGTAGGGAGAAGGAAGGTACTCATGCAGTAGGATGGAATCGCCTGATCGCCTGAGCTACAGTTTTAATCATTACTTCCTTTCCCGCCTTAGAGAGGAGTCTGTGGCTCCATCGAGAAATGGTCTTTCTCAATCTATCTCGAAGAAAGGAGAAGACCGCCTTCTTGTTTCGTCCAACTAGGGAAGGAAGCCCTAGGTATCTGCCATGGTTTAAGGGTTGAGTTTAGGGTTTGAGAACTTGCCAAAATATTGATAATCTGCTCTTCTAATCGAGACTTCACATAGAACTGAAAAAAAACCCTGATTTGTAAGTTCCACACCCTGTCTGATGCCTGCTTCATAACTGTTTTAAGATATGTGCAACCGCTGTAGCTTCTTCTGCCTAGCTTTAAAAGAAGACAGACTATCGTTAGCAAATAAAGATGAGACAACCTCGGACAAGCTCGACAAAATACGACCCCCCATGGAGTGATCCTACTGCCTCTGCCAATGCATAAGTAAAGTTGAAAGCCCCTCAGAACAAAGTAGGAACAAGTACGGGGAATAGAGGGCAACCCTTGTCTCAACCCACGAGATGGAGTAATAGGACCAACACTTTCACCATTAACAAGAACGTGATACCTGACCGACGTAACACACATCATAATCAGCTGAACGAATTCAGGAACAAAACCCAAGTCTTGTCATTATCAGCTTTTAAATAAGACCAGTCAACTCGATCATATGCCCTTACTAATATCAATCTTGAGGGCTGCTGTTTGGTCTTGAACTCCTCCCACGCTACCGCCGCCTTTAAGGGCGGCCGCCATCGCCGCGGCCGGAAAAACTGGCTTTTAGAGCCTCAAAATTTGAGTATTCACAGTCTCGCAGGTACAAAAGTGGACTGGGATGGGGAGACAATTTTCCGTAGGACATGCTTCATCCGATTAGCTAAGACCTTTGCCACAATCTTATATAAAACATTACATAGGGAAATTGGCCACAGATCTTCCACAAATTCAGGTTTATCAATTTTTGGAATTAGCACTAAGGTTGTCTCGTTCACCAGATTAGGAAAAGAGCCGTGTGCAATCCACCGTTTACAGCTAGTAGTAACATCTGAACCCACAACTGACCAAAATTTCTGAAAGAACACGGATTGAACCCATCAGGGCCAGGACTTTTGTCCGGGTGCATTTGAAATACCACCGATCGAAACTCGTCATCAAGGAAAGGGGCCATAAGATTATCATTATCAGTTTCAGAGACCCGAGAATTAACATGCTCAAGAACAGGACTAGACTGGATAGGTGTGGCCATAAATAGTGTAGTGAAGTATTCTAGGAACACAATATGCATATCCCTCAGTTCTTCCTTCCAGTCACCTCTCGAGTCCCAGATACCTGGAAGATAGTTTAATTTTTTACGTGAGGAAACTGAGGAGTGAAAGTACCTGGTATTTTTATCCCCATGAGCAAGCCAGAATATTTTTTATCGTTGTTTCCAATACTGCTCTTCTTTAAGAAGCAAATCACCAAGCTGCTTTTGTAGTAAAAAATACTCTGAATTGTCACTGCACTGGTGGACTCGAAAGCCATTAAGTCGGGTTTTAAGCAATTTAATATCTTTAAGGAACTTACTATGTAAGTCACGTCCCCAAATTCGCAACCCAGATCTGCATGCTTGCAGTTTACCCATTACATCACCGTGGGCTCCACGGGCCCAATTATGAGTAACAGTCTCATCAAGGTTAGGCTCCCCAATCCATGCATTTTCAAACATAAAGCTAATATGTCTTTTAGTCCTTAGGTCAGTGCCCAATAAAAGCAATAATGGAGAATGGTCCGATGTGCCACTAATTAAATTGTGAACCGTAGCATTTGGGAAAAAGCGAGGCCATGTATCTGAAGCCACCATTTGGTCCAATCTTTCCTCAATTTTGTTACGTCCCCTACCAGACCGCCATGTAAATGGATACCCTACCATACCGAGATCGGAGACCCGACACACCTCCAGCACTTCTCGAAATCCCTCATGATTACGTAGCTCATAAGGGTGGCCCCCTATCTTCTCATCATCTGCAAGTAGGTTATTAAAGTCACCCATTAGAAGCCAAGGAAGGTTGTGCTGACTAGCTAGAGTTTTAAGGAGAGTCCAAGTGTCTGGCTTCCTATGGTGTTCAAGGAACCCATATACACATGTCATTCGCCAAGTATGTGGTCCCTAAGTTATTTGCATATCAATGTGATTTGGGGAGTAAGAATAAAGATCAACATTCAAATTATTATTCCAAAAGATAGCTAAACCACCACTTCGACCAAGACAATCAACTGAAAAAGAAGAGGAAAAACCACACTGCAAACTTAAGTTTTTAACATAAGAGGAAGCTACTTTTGTCCACACGTGCAAACTTAATTTTTTAAACATAAAGGAAAGCTACGTTTGTCTCCATTAAGCGAAGCAGCTCCATAAGGAAGCAGAACATGGGCTTATTTGCACGAACAAGATCCTTTAGAGCACTCACTGCCCGAGGGTTGCCCATCCCTCGGCAGTTCCAACATAGGAACGTCATGGCTCTCGGCGGCCCTGAGTACTAGGGCTCGCCGCTTTAACTGAGGTGCTAACTAAAGATGCTCCATCACTGCTGTGTATGTTTGGATCAATTTGCATGGCTGAAGTAGAAGGTGGTGAGGAATCAATACCGTTTTGGGTTTGAGTAGTTAGGGTTACCATGTGAAGAGTATCTGCATGTCTGGCCCGCTTGTTTCCTTCCACAGTATTTGAAATAGCATCTTCAAGAGCATTGGGATCCAACTCAGTTCTAATCAGATCCACCAATACAGCTTTGCCATGATCTTGTGTTCCTGTCATGTCTGAATCTTGTGTTCCTGTCATGTCTGAAGTCTTTGCTTGAGCCGTAGGTCTCGAATCCAGGAGATTTCCATGCTGGTCACGCAGCCACCGATTGTCATCAGAGCCCCATCCCAACTGTCTCATCGGAGCTCGTAGCCATGGCCCCCAGCCACGCTCAATCTCCTCCTCTGGTGTAGAAAAAAGGGACTCACACACCATTTCTGAATGCCCAAGATGGCCACAAATAAAGCATAGAGTTGTTAGCTT